GAGACAGAAATTATTTAGATCAACAAAAAAGCGGAAGCTGTGGAGAGCAATGATCATCCACGTCCTGAAGGGACATAGTACATAAAAGAAGACAAGTCTTGTGGATGGCAAAGAGACAGAAATTATTTAGATCAACAAAAAGGCAGAAGTTGTGGAGAGCAAGGATCATCCACGTCCTGAAGGGACATAGTACATAAAAGAAGACAAGTCTTGTGGATGGCAAAGGGAAAGAAATTATTTAGATCAACAAAAAGGCGGAAGCTGTGGAGAGCAATGATCATCCACGTTCTGAAGGGACATAGTACATAAAAGAAGACAAGTCTTGTGGATGGCAAAGAGACAGAAATTATTTAGATCAACAAAAAGGCGGAAGCTGTGGAGAGCAATGATCATCCACGTTCTGAAGGGACATAGTACATAAAAGAAGACAAGTCTTGTGGATGGCAAAGAGACAGAAATTATTTAGATCAACAAAAAGGCAGAAGTTGTGGAGAGCAAGGATCATCCACGTCCTGAAGGGACATAGTACATAAAAGAAGACAAGTCTTGTGGATGGCAAAGGGAAAGAAATTATTTAGATCAACAAAAAGGCGGAAGCTGTGGAGAGCAATGATCATCCACGTTCTGAAGGGACATAGTACATAAAAGAAGACAAGTCTTGTGGATGGCAAAGAGACAGAAATTATTTAGATCAACAAAAAGGCGGAAGCTGTGGGAGAGCAATGATCATCCACGTTCTGAAGGGACATAGTACATAAAAAGAAGACAAGTCTTGTGGATGGCAAAGGAAAAGAAATTATTTAGATCAACAAAAAGGCGGAAGCTGTGGAGAGCAATGATCATCCACGTTCTGAAGGGACATAGTACATAAAAGAAGACAAGTCTTGTGGATGGCAAAGGGAAAGAAATTATTTAGATTAACAAAAAGGCGGAAGCTGTGGAGAGCAATGATCATCCACGTTCTGAAGGGACATAGTACATAAAAGAAAAAAACTCTTGTGAGTGGCAAAACTAAGACAAAGAGGAATGGTAAAGAGACAGAAATTATTTAAATCAACAAAAGGGTGGAAGCTGTGGAGAGCAATGATCATCCAAGTTCTAAAAGGACATAGCAGATAAAAAAAAGAAAACTCTTGTGGATGGCAGAAACAAAGACAAGGGGGATGGTAAAGAGAGAAAATAAAGACGAGCAAAAAAATAGACAGGAAGTTGTGGAGAGCCATGATTCCGCATATCCTGAAAGTAATAGAATATGTATTTTATATATGTTAATCAGCGATAATCGATGTGAATATTAATTACGTCGCTCGAACATTATACAGTGATAATTTTAGATCACCATTCAACGAGTAAATACTCTTAGGCTACGGACTTAACGATACACCTCATAATAAAAATTTATCATATACATTATCTGGTATATAATAGGT